CTGACAGCATCTGTGGAGGAGAAAACAGAGTTTAACATTTCTGGTCCGGTGACCCAGTTCAGAGGAAGGGTCACCAGACCTGAAACGTTAACTCTGTTTTCTCCTCCACAGATGCTGCCAGACCAGCTGAGCTTTTCCAGCAACTTTGTTTTTGTTCACTTTCATGAAGCCATGCTGACTGTGCTTGCCTAGATTATGACTTTCTAAGTGTTCTGCTATTGCTTCCTTGAATAATGATTCCAACGTTTTTCCAACAATAGATGTTAGGCTAATGGATCCATAGTTATCTGCTTTTAGCCTCCCTCCCTTTTTAAATAGGGGTGTCACATTAGCAGTAACTTGTACTTCTCCAGAATGCAAGGATGTTTGGAAAATTACTACCAATGCACCGACTGTCTCTCCAACTACTTCGTTTGGAATTCTAGGATGCAAGCCATCAGGGCCAGGGGACTTATCTGCCTTTAGCCCCATTAGTTTGCCTAATACTGCTTCTCTAGTGATGGTATTTAATTCCTCTCCTGTATTCTTTAGTATTAATGGGATGTTTGACATATTTTTCATCGTAAAGACTGATGCAAAATATCTATTTAATTCCTCTGCCATTTCCTTGTTCCCCGTAGCTATCTCCCCAGATTCATTTTTAAAAGGTTACCTTTGACCCTTCTTCCTTTTTAAATGTTTAAAGAAGCTCTTACCTCATCCCACCTACCTATCCCCGCCTCCTTGACCTGTCCGTCTTCTCTCCCATCTATCCGCTCCTGCCACCACTGGCTACCTGAACTCACCTATCACCATCCCACCTACCTTCCCCAGCCCCATTCCCCCTATTTATTTCAGAGCCCCCTCCCCCTCCCCCTTCCCCATCTCTGAAGAAGGGTCCTGACCTGAAACGTCAGCTTTCCTGCTCCTTTGATATTGCCTGGCCTGCTGTGTTCCTTCAGCTTCACACTGTGTTATCTTACTGTTAGTATATTCCTTGCTAGTTTGCTCTCATAGTTTTATTTTCTCTCTCTTCATTATTTTTTAGTCCCTGTTTGCTGGACTCTGAATTTATCCCAATCTTCGGGGCTGTCACTGATTTTTGTCTCCATACATGGTTTTTCTTTCAACTTAATACTTTCCTTCACTTCTTTATTTAGCTATGGTTGGTTTATCCCTGTTTTAGATTCTTTCTTCCTTGCTGGGATTTACTTTTGCTGAGAGAACAATATCCCTCTATGCTGCCCTTTATTGGAGTATCTCTCCATTTAAATTTAAACTCACTTAAAACAGATGTAAAAGAATTGTTCCTCTGAGAGTTGTGAATGTCTGGAATTCTCTACCCAAAAGTTGGGGAGGTTAAATCACTAAAGTACTTTAAGAGGAGTAAGATAGATTTTTGAAATATTGTGGAGTTGAGGCATGGGACAGGTCAGCCATGATCTTAGAGAATGGCAGGGTAAGCTTAAGGGGCTGAATGGTCTGTTTCTGCTCCATATGTTCTGAACTAACATCAATAAAGTAATGTCTGTCGAGTAAGGTCAATCAATTAGTATGAATTAATTAGAATTAATTAACACTAATAAACTGATATCAAGCACCTCAGTTAATATCTGTGTCAATAAATATTGTCAGTTAATCAATGTCAATTAACAAAGGTCAATAAATTTCAAACAATGTCAGTCAATGCATGTTGAGCAATTACTATCAATCAATTAATACCAATATCAGTCCATGACTATCAACAATCCATGAACGTCAGTAATGCTGAGGATTGGCAATGGGGCAGCGAGAAGGGAAATAACACTCCAGAATGACAGAGAGAGAGACTGGAATAACATACTGGGAATCATAGCTGCAAATAAGTGACATTCCATGCATCTTGGGAGTGAAAGTCATGCCCCAAGATTTGGGCAAGGGTACAGTCTCTACTGCCTGTGTTTGTTTCCTAACTGTCGGATGATGTCATTGGGAATCTCAGTTACATGCATCTTTTCCATAGGTATGCAAACGGATGGATGCAGTTTGTCAGCGGATGCTGAACCAGGGCTTTCTGAAAGTTGAGCGGTATCACAGTTTGTGTCAGAAACAGGTCAAAGCACAGCTACCACGGTGAGTAACTGGGAATAAGAGTGGTATTTTCGTACCATATTGTCTTCACAGCTTCGTAGTGTATAGAACTTCAGATTAACATCAAATGTGAAAGGGAAGATGATTTCCACTAATTCTTGGCCTCCATAAAAAGCAGGTGTATTGAAGGCTACCGTAAATGTTCACTCGATTAGTCACTTGCATATGTGGATTGTGGTAAGATAAAAGGTTGCATAAATTGGATCTATATTTTGTGATGTTTATAAGAAATATGCAGAGTTCTAGGGAAATTGGCACAGTAGACATTGAAAGGTTGTTCCTCCTGACTGGGAAATCTAGAATACAGATGCACAGTCTCAGGCTAAACAATTGATCAATTACAGACAAGGCTGAAGAATTTACAACAATCTTCAGCTAGAAGAGTCTTGTGAATGATCCATCTCAGCTTCCTCCTGAGGTCCTCAACATCATATGCCAGTCTTCAGCGAATTTGACTCATTCTGTGAGACATGAAGAAAAGACTGAAGGCAGTTGATACTGCAAAGGCTATAGCCATGACAGCGTTCTGGGAATAGCGCTGACTAAATGTACTCCACACCTTGTCACATTTCTTGTCAACATGTTGCAATACAGCTATAACACTGGCATTTACCCAACAATGTGGAAAATTGCTCAGGTTCTATCAAGCTGCACTTGCTTAGCAATAACCTGCTCACTGTTGCTTGGTTCAAACACCGACAAAAGAACTGAATTTCAGAGGTGAGGCGAGAGTGCTTTACATCATGACTGCTTTTATCTGAGTGTGGCATCAAGCAGCTCTAGCAAATCTAGAGGAGGGAAAGATTTCTGTTGGTTGAAGTCACATCTAGCATAAAGGAAGATGTTTGTAGTTATTAGGGGTCAGTCGGCTTAGCCCCAGGACATCTCAGTTCTGAAGGGTAGTGTCTTGGGTCTAATCAACTTAAGCTATTTCATCAATGACCCTCCCTCCATCACAAGGACAGAAGCAAGGATGTTCGCTGATGATTGCATAATGTTCAGCGCCACATGACTTCTCGAATACTGAAGAAGTCCATGGACAAATGAAGCAAGTTCTGGACAATATCCAGGTTTGGGCTAACCAGTGACATGTAACATTTGTATCATACATTTGCATCTCCTACAAAACTGAGTCTAATCATTCGATGGTATTACCTTTTCTGAATCTTCCACAATCATATCCTGGGAATTACCATTGACCAGGAACGAAACTGAACCAGTCATATAAATATCAAGAATACAAGAGGAAGGGGGAGAGCAATGGCCTAGTGGTATTATCACTGGACTGTTAATCCAGAGACCCAGATAACATTCTGGGGACCCGGGTTCAAATCCCGTTATGGCAGATGGTGGAATTTGAATTCAATAGAATATCTGGAATCGAATGACGATCATGAATCCATTGTCAATTGTTGGAAAAACACACCTGGTTCACTACTGTCCTTTAGGGAAGGAAACTGCCATCCTTACCTGGTCTGGCCTACATGTGACTCCAGACCCACAGCAATCTGGTTGACTATGAACTGCCCTCTGGACAATTAGGAATGGACAATAAATGCTGCCTGGCCAGTGATACCTCATCCCGTTAATGAATAAAGAAAAAAAAATTAAAGGCTATGAATCCTGTCGTGAATAAGTCTCCTCCTGTCTTACCAAAGGCTGTCCACCATCTACATGGCACAAGTCAAGAGGTATGATGGAAGTGGATCTTGATGACTGTGTTGCCTACCTTCTGCCAGAGTCAAGGACATCTCTTTGGGGCTGGAGAGGAACTTTGTGTGGGAGGGGAGGGTTTCAATTGGCATCATCCACGTTGGTGCTAACCATGTTGATAGAACCGGAAAGAAGGTTGTGACGAAGGATTTTGAACAGTTAGGATCTAAACTAAAAAGCAGAACTTCCAAGGTAATAATCTCAGGGTTGCTACCTCAGCCAAGGACAAACTGACATCAAGTGCAAATAATGTAAATGAGTGCCTTAAAGAGTGGTGTGGCAGGAATGTGTTTCAGTTCGTGGAACACTGAGTGTAGTACTGGGATAGAATGGAGCTGGTCCACTGGGATGGGCTTCACTTACACAATGCTTTGATCAGCATCTGAGCGAATTGAATAATTCAAGCTGCAGAGAAGGCTTTAAACTAACTAGAAGGGGAAGGGCTGCGGAGTGGGAATACTTAAGCTTACAAAGCAATAGGATATTGTGGTATTGCAGGGTAACTATTTTGATAATGATGGCCAGAATGGGACAGGGTACACAAGTTTTTTAAAAAAGCAGCAAATGGGAAAAATAGTAACAAGGGAAGTTTAATGGCCGTTAAATGTGTGTGGGATTCGGAACAAAATAAATTCATTAACGGCACAGGTCGTGGTTAATGAGTATGTTCTCATAGCCATTTTGGCAACATGGTTACTCGGAGATTGAAGATGGGACATAAGTTTTCAGGAGTTTGTGACGTTTCCATAGGACAGGCAGGAAAGAAAGGGTGTTGGGTAGATTGTTGGGGAGGGGCAAAAAAACACAAAAGCAAGAAATGACCTAGGATCAGTTGATGCTTCATACAGGTGAAGGTAAAAAAAAAAGAGGAAGAAGGCACTGATAGGAGTAGTCTATATGCCTCCTAACAGTTGGACAGAATAGATCAGGAGGTAGTAAGGGAATGTTAAAAGGGATATGTTAATCATGCATGACTTTAATCTTCATTCTCTTTGGATCCAATTGGGATCAGGCTATTGAGGCATGTTTATTGAATTAAATCAGAGTAAAAGAACTCGTGGAAAACAGTGCTCATAACATGGTGGCATTTATCATTTAGTTTGAGAGTGAGAAACTTGGATTGGAAATGACTGTGTGCCTAACTTTAATAAAGGTGAGTTCGTAAGGATAAGGGCAGAATTTCACTGGGAGAAAAGTTCAGCACCAAAGACCACTTAGAAACAATGGCAAACATTTAAGTAAATAGTTCATTACTCACAGCAAAGATGCATCCCAAGTGAAGATGATGATTCTGGGAAGGGGATAAACTTACCATGGTTAACCAGGGAAGTTAACGATAGTATCAAATTGAGACAAAAAATATAGAATGTGGCAGAGATTAATGGTACACCAGAGGATTGGCAAAATTTTAAAAGCCAACAAAAGATAATCAAGAATAATGAGGGAGAAAATAAACAATGAGGGCAAGCTGTTGAGTAATTTAAGAACAGGCAGTAAGAGCTTCTTTAAATATATAAAAAATAAGACATACTACAGTGAACATAGTTACATTAGAAATTGAGGCTGGGGAAATAAAGGTAGGGATCCAGAAAATGGCAGAAGAGTTGAACAAATTCTTTGCATCCGTTATCACAGTAAAGGACACATGGCATTCCAAAAACTCTAAATAATTAAGGGGCTCACCTTGTGGATGGGAGGAAAAACTAAATACAATAACCATCACCAGAGAAAAAGTAGTTGGAAAACTAATAGGGCTAAAGGCCAATGAACCCTTAGACATAATGGATTGCATTCTAGGATGTTAAAGAAAGTGGCTACAGCGATAGTGGATGCACTGGTAGCAATTTTCCAAGAATCCTTAAAATCTGAAAAGGTTCTAAAGGATTGGAAAACATCAAAAGTAACACATTTATTCAAAAAAGAGGGACACAAAAAACCAATAACAGCAGACCAGTTAGCTTAACATTTGACATTGGAAAACCTTAATAAGATGAGAGCCCATGGAGTTGGTGATAGTTTATTAGCATGGATTGAGGATTGGCTAACTAATAGAAGACAGCGTGGCATAAAGGGGGCATTTTCAGGATGACCATCTGTAACTAGTGGAGTCCCATAGGGTTTAGTGCTGGGGCCATATTAGTGTGGATGACAAAAGTGATGTAGTATCAGCAAGTTCACAGATGACCCACAAATAGATGGGAAGGCAAGTGTTGAGGATGACACACAGTTTACAGAGGGACATAAAGAGAATGGGCAAAAACTTGGGAGATGGAAAATAACGTTGTTAACAGGCTCAACAGGATAGATGTGGGGAGCTTGTCTCACCTTGTGGGAGAATCTAGGACCAGAGGGCAACATCTCAAACAGTCGGCAATTGAAGACAGAGAAAAGGAATTTCTTGTCTCAGAGTTTGTTCTTCTTTACCACAGAGGGCTGTTGAGGCTGGGTCGTTATGTGTCTTCAAGTATATTTAAGGCTTAAACAGACAGATTTTTAAGTGCTGTAATGAGGTCAGGATCTGAGTGGCCCTGGTGGAACCCAGAGTGGGCATCACTGAGCAGGCTGTTGCTGAGCAGATGCTGCTTGAATAGCACTGTTGATGAAACCTTCTATCACTTTACTGATGATTGACAGTAGACTGATGGGGTAGTAATTGGCTGTGTTGGATTCGTCCTGCTTTTTGTGTACAGGACATACCTGAGCAATTTTTTACATTGTCAGATAGATGCCAGTATTATAGCTGTAGTGGAATGGCTTGGCCAGGGGAGCGGCACATTGTGGAGCGCAAGTCTTTGGTACTAAGGCTGGAACGTTGTCAGGGCCCATAGCCTTTGCAGTATCCAGTATCTCCAGCCATTTCCTGATATCAATGAATCAAATTAGCTGAAGACTAGCACCTACGATGCTGGGGACCACTGGACGAGGCCAAGGTGGATCATCATCTCAGCACTTCTGGCCAACAATTGTTGCGAATCCTTCAACTTTATCTTTTGCACTGATGTGCCAGGCTCTTCCATCCTTGAGGATGGGGCCATCTGTGGAGCCTCCCTCTCCAGTGAGTTGTTGAATTGTCCACTACCATTCAGAACTGAATGTGACAGGACTGCAGAACTTAGATCTGATCTGTTTGTTGTGGGATCGCTTAGCTCGGTCAATCTTACGCTGTTTGGCCTGTAAGTAGTCCTGTTTGGTAGCTTCACCAGGTATGACACCACATTTTCAGGTACAATGAAAATCTTCTTTGCAAAGAAATGAGGGATCAGAATGAT